CAGTGTTACCCCTTACGTTTTTTTTTTTTGGGGGCGAAAAATTAGTATCCCCAATCTTCTCGAACTCTGGATTCTGATAGAGGGCACTGAGACTTACACCTGAGTGCAAAAATGGAGGCTCTAGACCCTTCCAGAGCTGAGATATCGAAAAACTCAAAAATTTCGACCCGAAAAAAAAACGACAGTGTTACCCCTTACTTTTTTTTTTTTGGGCGAAAAAATTAAGTATCCCCAATCTTCTCGAAACTCTGGATTCTGATAGAGGGCACTGAGACTTACACCTGAGTGCAAAAATGGAGGCTCTAGACCCTTCCAGAGCTGAGATATCGAAACTCAAAATTTCGACCCGAAAAAAAAAACGACAGTGGTTACCCCTTACGTTTTTTTTTTTTGGGCGAAAATTTAGTATCCCCAATCTTCTCGAAACTCTGGATTCTGATAGAGGGCACTGAGACTTACACCTGAGTGCAAAAATGGAGGCTCTAGACCCTTCCAGAGCTGAGATATCGAAACTCAAAATTTTCGACCCGAAAAAAAACGACAGTGTTACCCCTTTACTTTTTTTTTGGGGCGAAAAATTTAGTAGGCCGACCAATCTTCTCGAAAACTCTGGGATTCTCGATAGAGAGGCCACTGAGACTTACACCTGAGTGCAAAAATGGAGGCTCTAGACCCTTCCAGAGCTGAGATATCGAAACTCAAAATTTCGACCCGAAAAAAAAACGACAGTGTTACCCCTTACGTTTTTTTTTTTGGGCGAAAAATTAAGTATCCCCAATCTTCTCGAAACTCTGGATTCTGATAGAGGGCACTGAGACTTACACCTGAGTGCAAAAATGGAGGCTCTAGACCCTTCCAGAGCTGAGATATCGAAACTCAAAATTTCGACCCGAAAAAAAAACGACAGTGTTACCCCTTACGTTTTTTTTTTGGGCGAAAAATTAAGTATCCCCAATCTTCTCGAAACTCTGGATTCTGATAGAGGGCACTGAGACTTACACCTGAGTGCAAAAATGGAGGCTCTAGACCCTTCCAGAGCTGAGATATCGAAACTCAAAATTTCGACCCGAAAAAAAAACGACAGTGTTACCCCTTACGTTTTTTTTTTTTGGGGCGAAAAATTAAGTATCCCCAATCTTCTCGAAACTCTGGATTCTGATAGAGGGCACTGAGACTTACACCTGAGTGCAAAAATGGAGGCTCTAGACCCTTCCAGAGCTGAGATATCGAAACTCAAAATTTCGACCCGAAAAAAAAACGACAGTGTTACCCCTTACGTTTTTTTTTTTGGGCGAAAAATTAAGTATCCCCAATCTTCTCGAAACTCTGGATTCTGATAGAGGGCACTGAGACTTACACCTGAGTGCAAAAATGGAGGCTCTAGACCCTTCCAGAGCTGAGATATCGAAACTCAAAATTTCGACCCGAAAAAAAAACGACAGTGTTACCCCTTACGTTTTTTTTTGGGGCGAAAAATTAAGTATCCCCAATCTTCTCGAAACTCTGGATTCTGATAGAGGGCACTGAGACTTACACCTGAGTGCAAAAATGGAGGCTCTAGACCCTTCCAGAGCTGAGATATCGAAACTCAAAATTTCGACCCGAAAAAAAAACGACAGTGTTACCCCTTACGTTTTTTTTTTTGGGGCGAAAAATTAAGTATCCCCAATCTTCTCGAAACTCTGGATTCTGATAGAGGGCACTGAGACTTACACCTGAGTGCAAAAATGGAGGCTCTAGACCCTTCCAGAGCTGAGATATCGAAACTCAAAATTTCGACCCGAAAAAAAAACGACAGTGTTACCCCTTACGTTTTTTTTTTTGGGGCGAAAAATTAAGTATCCCCAATCTTCTCGAAACTCTGGATTCTGATAGAGGGCACTGAGACTTACACCTGAGTGCAAAAATGGAGGCTCTAGACCCTTCCAGAGCTGAGATATCGAAACTCAAAATTTCGACCCGAAAAAAAAACGACAGTGTTACCCCTTACGTTTTTTTTTTGGGGCGAAAAATTAAGTATCCCCAATCTTCTCGAAACTCTGGATTCTGATAGAGGGCACTGAGACTTACACCTGAGTGCAAAAATGGAGGCTCTAGACCCTTCCAGAGCTGAGATATCGAAACTCAAAATTTCGACCCGAAAAAAAAACGACAGTGTTACCCCTTACGTTTTTTTTTTGGGCGAAAAATTAAGTATCCCCAATCTTCTCGAAACTCTGGATTCTGATAGAGGGCACTGAGACTTACACCTGAGTGCAAAAATGGAGGCTCTAGACCCTTCCAGAGCTGAGATATCGAAACTCAAAATTTCGACCCGAAAAAAAAACGACAGTGTTACCCCTTACGTTTTTTTTTTTGGGCGAAAAATTAAGTATCCCCAATCTTCTCGAAACTCTGGATTCTGATAGAGGGCACTGAGACTTACACCTGAGTGCAAAAATGGAGGCTCTAGACCCTTCCAGAGCTGAGATATCGAAACTCAAAATTTCGACCCGAAAAAAAAACGACAGTGTTACCCCTTACGTTTTTTTTTTGGGCGAAAAATTAAGTATCCCCAATCTTCTCGAAACTCTGGATTCTGATAGAGGGCACTGAGACTTACACCTGAGTGCAAAAATGGAGGCTCTAGACCCTTCCAGAGCTGAGATATCGAAACTCAAAATTTCGACCCGAAAAAAAAAACGACAGTGTTACCCCTTACGTTTTTTTTTTTGGGCGAAAAATTAAGTATCCCCAATCTTCTCGAAACTCTGGATTCTGATAGAGGGCACTGAGACTTACACCTGAGTGCAAAAATGGAGGCTCTAGACCCTTCCAGAGCTGAGATATCGAAACTCAAAATTTCGACCCGAAAAAAAAACGACAGTGTTACCCCTTACGTTTTTTTTTTGGGCGAAAAATTAAGTATCCCCAATCTTCTCGAAACTCTGGATTCTGATAGAGGGCACTGAGACTTACACCTGAGTGCAAAAATGGAGGCTCTAGACCCTTCCAGAGCTGAGATATCGAAACTCAAAATTTCGACCCGAAAAAAAAAACGACAGTGTTACCCCTTACGTTTTTTTTTTTGGGGCGAAAAATTAAGTATCCCCAATCTTCTCGAAACTCTGGATTCTGATAGAGGGCACTGAGACTTACACCTGAGTGCAAAAATGGAGGCTCTAGACCCTTCCAGAGCTGAGATATCGAAACTCAAAATTTCGACCCGAAAAAAAAACGACAGTGTTACCCCTTACGTTTTTTTTTTTGGGGCGAAAAATTAAGTATCCCCAATCTTCTCGAAACTCTGGATTCTGATAGAGGGCACTGAGACTTACACCTGAGTGCAAAAATGGAGGCTCTAGACCCTTCCAGAGCTGAGATATCGAAACTCAAAATTTCGACCCGAAAAAAAAACGACAGTGTTACCCCTTACGTTTTTTTTTTTGGGGCGAAAAATTAAGTATCCCCAAT